GGGGGGGCGGCGAGGAGCCCAGGGCTGGGACGGGGGGCAGCCAAAATTTGTTTTGCTTGGGGCGGCAAAAAAACCTAGAGCCGGCTCTGGTTTGATCCAAATGTCCAAGCTCCTGAGTTCTGCAGCCCTTGTGCCATCAGCAAAATTCTTTGTCTTTGCCCTGACACCCTGGAGTAGAGGAGAGGCTAGCCACGTCGTTTCAGCAAACTCTGAGGTCCCAAATGGTGCCCTCAGTTGTTATACCCTGTTTGAGGGTTCACGAGAGGAAGACAGCCCTATTATTTCTATTAGACGTCCCAAATGAGCTCCTAGGTTTCAGCTCTCTCCATTTCTCTGTTGTTTCTATCAATATCCAGTAGCTGGTGCCAAGCTGTCCTGCAGTGGCTCCAGAACATGAGTACCAACCTCAGGCAGACTGCTAAGAACCAGGCACAGACCACAAACTGGTTGTGAGTTCTGTACTTGGATTTCACCCATCAAGTGTAAACTCCTCACACCCTACAACAGCCTAACCATGGAGTCACAGCCAGTCCCCGTGGGTACTCCAGTCTGTCTGCTACCTTGTGATAGATGGTCCCTTACACCAAAAATCACAACCACATTCAGGCTACTGCCACTCCCAAAGAACCTGTCACTTATCCCAGGTAGCCAATCCTATAATAAACTATCTAAAGACTTATTATAAAGGACACCAAGGTGTTATTGATAAGGTTAAAGCAGGTAAACATAGATACAATGAGTTACAATCTTAAATTTCAAAAGGTAATAGAAGCTGTTGTAATAAGCAAGCTCTATGTCCTCTAGGCTAAGCACTGGGGATCTCTTGCTTATACCTAGTAAACCTTGCCCCTCAGAGTCCAAGCAGCATAAAGATACAGGTCCTTCTTTTTAGGGGGTTTTATCCCCAACCTCCTTTACAGATTCAGCTGATGGGAAGAATCCATTTGCATGACTCAGCTTCGGGGGAGTGGGGGGAGGACAGGGCGGGTGCCAAAGAGCAGAGCAACAAAGTCTTTTGTTCTCTTAATCATTACACAATAGTCCGTGTGGTGTCAGTGGGCCTTCCCTGTTGGCCAGCACCTTTTGTTGGAGACCAGCACTTCATACTAGTTAATGTCTCTCTCATGTCTGGTGATTTACACAGTAACAGAGGCTCACACTGCAAATGCTCAAATATTGCCTTACAATATGGGATATAGATGCTAAAGGTGAGATTAACGCAGGCAGCAACTCACAAGAATTCAATAGAGTCTAAATACTCAACACATTCTTATAATTCTATCACCTCTTTTACCAACACCAACACTCTGGTGAACCAGACTGATTCCAGCTACATATGTGTCAGTATTCAACTGAGGCTTGGGGACTTTGGCATGATCTGCCAGCGTCGCACCTCCAGTGACGGGGGCTCCATGACCTCCCTTGGAATCCTATTGTAGAGCTTAACACCCCGTATTTTTCCTAATATCTAACCTCAATCTCCCTGCTCCAGATTAAGCCCATTGCGTTTTATCCTACCTTCCGTGGACATGTAGAACAATCCATCCCCGTCCTCTTTATAACAGTTCTTACCATATTTGAAGACTATCAGGTTCCCCCTCAGTCTTCTTTTCTCAAGACTCAACATGTCCAGTTTTTCACACAGGAGGATGGGAGCATGAAGCAGCCAAACTACAACTCCCAAGAGTCACCACCATCGCACTTTGGCATAGAAGTACTTCACATTTCGATTTTTCACAGAAAACTTGAAATTTTCCCTGTGGAGTTAAAAAAAGAAAATGTGATTGATTCTATGCTGGCTCCTAGATAAACTTCTTGAAGCTCCCTGTGCAAAGAGTTTTATGAAACATTCAGTTCTGGAAGTAGATGGTCCAGGCTGCTCCATCTAAGGGTATGTGGAAGTATTGCAAGCTCCATGCATGCAGGAATAGACCATTGACTGTCCACGCCATGTCTTTTCCAGGTGGATGGTGTTTTCGTGGACCTGCCCTTCTCCCACCAGCACAAGTTCAAGGCCTACATCAGTGGCGTTCATGGTTTCATCAAGACCGACTTCGACCTGAGAGTGAGCTTCGACTGGTACAGCTACGCCAGGGTCATCATACCCAATACGTACGCCAATGCTGTCTGCGGCCTCTGTGGCAATGCCAATCAGGACCCCAGCGACGATCTGACCATGAAGGATGGAACTCAGACATCTGATGAGATTCAGTTTGCCGACAGCTGGAAGGTTGGTGACGTCCCGGGTTGCTCGGACAGCTGCACCGGGGACTGCTCAGTCTGTAGTGAGTCTCAGAAACAAACCTACAAGGGAGACCAGTACTGTGGGGTCCTCATCCGACAGAACGGGCCATTCAGACAATGCCACGGGGCCATCGACCCAGCCCCCTTCTTTGATGATTGTGTCTTTGATACCTGCCAGTACAAGGGTCATCGTGATACTTTGTGCAGCGCAATCAGTGCCTATGTGACAGCCTGCCAGGCCAGGGACATCCGGATAGGGCAGTGGAGATCGGCCTCATTCTGCAGTAAGTGTCACTTCCTGAACACGTTGCTATAAGTTTAATACAATCACAAACTGGCCAGCGAGCACATGCACCAGCACCCTCTGCTGGGTGGAATCAGAACTGCTCACCCATGTGTCATAGGCAAAGCCTTTCAAAAAACAGGGGGAGTGGGGACATTTAATAAAAAAACCCTAAATATTCAAGTCTGTTTGCGTTTTGCAGGGCTCATAATGTAACAATTTTCCATTTTTTCCAATTTTCTTTGTGATTTTTATTAGAATTTTGGACATTTCAAAATTTCATTTTTCCTTCTGTCTTGATCTCCTTTTGTTCTCTGTTTTTAGTCACAGTGCAATAAAATGAATTATAGTCAGGTTGTTTTTCTCCACTTTTCTTGTTTTCTTTTTTCCCCCTTTTATTACTCTGAAAATTTCAAAACTGCTCACGAGTCACAGAGTTTCATTTTTACTCTTTTTTCAAAGTGGAGGAAGTTTTGAAAAGTGGAATAAGAAAAAATGAGAAAAATGGCAGGGGGGGGTGGGGGTGGGAAAGACACCAAGTTAGACATTATTCCTTGTACTGTATTCACTGGAAAAACAGGAAAGTCAAAGATCTGACTATTTGAATTGTCAACATTTTCAATTTTAATGAAAAATTGGAGAATTTTCAAAAACTGAAAGCTTTTTCTGAAAGCTTTTGGTTTCAAGAAAAACAACAACAACACTGTTTCATCCAAATCAAGTTTTGAATGAACAATTTTAACCTATTCTAAGGAAGTCTCTTAATTCTTAGATGTGTCCAATGCTTTGATCTCTCTTGCTAATATGGCAGTTTGACCTCCTGGATAAATCAAAACCTCCAGCAGTTTTGAGCTAACACAAGTCCAAAAAAACCCAAAATCTCATGCCTGACAGTCCGTCACTCCACGACATCAACAGAAGGGGAAAAAATAAAAGTAGTCAGGAATTTTCCCCCCAAAATGTTTGTTTGTTGGAAAATGTTAGTTTGTCAAAACCAAAACTATTTGAGAAAAAGAAAAGAAGCAGAGTGTTGAAATTGTCCAAACATCTTGTTTTAACATTTTTGAAATCAAAACTTTTATTTTCTTGAGTCAAAATGACTTTTTGTTCTGAACTCTTATACTAAAACACCTAAAAATGTTTATTTTTTTAAAAAGGTCAAAATCTAAATGAAACATTTTGAAATGGTCAAAGCAGCGTCTTTCGAGTGACCGGATCAGAACTGGTTTCAGATTATTGCACTGTGACAATGCTAAACATTTCAGCTTTTTGCACCATTTCAAAAAGGGCCAAAATTCAGAATCTCAAACTCTTGTGGGAGGGAAAAAATTGTTTTCTGCCCAGCGTTAGAGAAAACATTGACTGTGACTTCAAAAATCAGATAAATCTAGTAGAGGACCACAGCCACATGACAATAACTGGCTAGGCATATGGTGATTTCATGGTGTCATGAAGAGGGAGAGTTAAAGCACTTTGGTTGTCCTAACTGTTCATTTCCATGCCTCCGCACCTTTGGGTTGCTTTTCAGTTTAACTTTAACTCTCAATTTCCTGGGTTTACAATGCCTGGTGGTAGGATAATTGCAACACCCCTGTAATGCATTTTACCTTAAATTACTGATATGTATTCTCAGCCTTAGCACCATTTAACAAGTTTTGGCTAGAAACTGATATTATTGTCGCTGTTGTTGTTGACTGCACCCTGCTCTAACCATTAGACTCTGCTCCACTCCCAAAGCTGGGGAGAGACCTTAGGTGTCCTGACTCCCAGCCCCCATGCTCTAACCCACCAGACCCCACTTCCCTTCCAGAGCTGGGGAGAGAACTCAGGAGTCCTGGCTCCCAGCCCCACTGCTCTAACCCACCAGACCCCACTGCCCTCCCAGAGCAGTAGGCACCATGTCTTTTCCCAGACTTCTTCGTGTTAACAGAGATCTGCATGCTCAATCCAATGTTTCCTGCAGGTCTCACCTGTCCCCGGAACTCTCACTACGAGTTCTGTGGGAGCAGCTGTCCTGCCACCTGCCACAGGCCCTCGGCTCCAGACAGATGCGAGGAGCCCTGTGTGGAAGGGTGTTTCTGCGATGCCGGATTCATCCTCAGCGGAGACCGGTGCGTCCCCATCACGCAGTGTGGCTGTGTGCACGAGGGCAGGTACTACCAGAAGGGAGAGGAGTTCTACACCAGTGCCTCCTGCCAGGAGCGGTGCCGGTGCCAAGGCAACGGGGTCGTCGAGTGCCAGGCAGCCTCCTGCAGAGCCAATGAGGAGTGCAGGGTGGAGAACGGAGTCCTGGGCTGCCACTCCATGGAGTATGGAACCTGCGTAGTCTCCGGTGACCCTCACTGCTTCTCATTTGATGGACGGGCCTTCGACATCCAGGGCTCCTGCGCTTACACCTTAGCCAAGGTCTGCAGCAGTGACCCCCGGCTGGTGGAATTCTCCATGGTGGTTGAGAACGAGAGCGCTGGTGGTGGCCGTGTGGCTCAGACGCGGGCGGTGGTGGTCTCCGTGCATGGTTACACCATCTCTCTGGAGAGGGGAAGGAAGTGGAAGGTGGCGGTAAGTCCCTGCTTGAGATTAGTCTCCTTGAAGCCAAGTGAGTGACTCACACCATTTGTGATCCTGACGTGTGTGTGTGTGTGTGTGTGTGTGTGTGTGTGTGTGTGTGTGTGTGTGTGTGTGTGTGTGTGTGTGTG